AGCAGAACTGATCAAGTTAAGAGCAGATTAGTGGAAACAGAAATTCTCCCCAAACACAGGGCAAAAAGCAAGGAGATGGAAAGTTTGTAAGAATGGTTGAAAGTCATGGAGGTGAGATCCTCAAGTTCCAATATCTGTTCCAATAGAAGTTACAAAAGGAGAGAAAGAGAGCAGATGAGATGATAATAAGGAGAAAGTAGAATAAAATTTCTCAGAGTTGAAGAAAAATATGAATTTTCAGATTCAATAGAAGCAGTTTAAAGCAGGATAAAGATTTTAAAATACAGTTTACAGTTTTATGTACAGTTTAAAGCTTATGATTTGATTCTAAGACCCAAGAACTTGAAAAAATTAAATCATAAACCAAAAATAGAGACTAGACTAGCTTCCTGTGCCTTGAATTAAATTAATCCTACAAACTATTTTTACTGAATCACAGAACCAGTTATTTGTTTGAAATTTTAAGACTACTGTGACTTAGAAATGAACACGTATCAGAAAGCTACTTAAAAACAGAGATACCAAACCAAATAAACCCAACCCTACCCAATGTTCCCCTCATTCAAATGTCTGCTAACAATGGAAAAATCGAGAACTCATGGTTATGAACAGAAAACTTTGAAATAGTGCCTAGAGCTCAAAAAACATTAGTTCCCTTCATCTTTACCTTGTCACCAAGAGATGCATTTCATAAAACTAAACTGAAATTTCTGTTCCATTTCTGGGAACATCTAGGGGAACCACAGTCTCCACAACTTCCAAAGACAAAGCAGCAGGAGGACCCATTTGAAAAGCCCACCATTTACAATATAGAGGCATCGAGGACAAAGGAATAAACTTCACCTTCAGATGCCTCAAACAGAATGGTCCTTGCAAGGAATCTGAAAACTGGCAGTGAGTGTGTAAATACCAAACTGACCTCCCTATAAAGGAGCAAGTGACACCAATTTCAAATTTCCATCCACCGATAATGGAAAGGAGCAGAAGAGCAAGACTTACATCCTGTCATCCACCAGAGCATGGAAGCACTAAACAGGCTTTGGAATAAATGGGCATCTTTCCTTCTATAGCTGTGCCTGAGCTTTCCAGGATTAGATTTTCCATTACCTAAGAGATGTGAGCTCGTGCAGATGTAATAGCAGGCTTATACTGGGGTGTGATGATAAACTGGTGTCTGAAGGCACTTATGTTCTGCTGCAGGTGCCTTGTTCAGGCTGTATTAGTTTGAGTGGGCTTCCATGACAAATACCACAGACTGGGTGGCTTAAACAACAAAATTAGTTTTCTCACAATTCTGGAGGCTAGAAGTCCGAGATCAAGTTACCGGCAGGGTTGTTTCTTCTGAGGCCCCTCTCTTTGACTTATAGATGGCCATGTTTTCCCTCTGTCTTCACATGGTCTTTCCTTTGTGTGTCTGTGTCCTAATCTCCTCTTGTGAGGACACTAGTCATATTGGATTAGGGCCAGCCACATGATTTCATTTTACCTTAATTACCTCTTTAAAGGCTCTCTCTCCAAATCTGGTCACTTTCCAAGGTACTTGGGGCTAGCATTTTAACATATGAATTTGGAGTGCAGGCCATTCAGTCCATAACCCAGGCCTCATCTTTTCTCACATGAGTTTCTTCTTATAAATCTCCTAACTGCTGTCCCATTCTCCAGTTTCACTCTCCTTCAATTCTTCCCCCACATAGTTGCCAAAGTACACTTTCTAAAAAAGAAATCTGATCACTCCACTACTTTTTTTTTTTTTTTTTTTTTTGCGTTACGCGGGCCTCTCACTGTTGTGGCCTCTCCCGTTGCGGAGCACAGGCTCCGGACGCGCAGGCTCAGCGGCCATGGCCTCCGGGCCCAGCCGCTCCGCCGCATGTGGGATCCTCCCAGACCGGGGCACGAACCCGTGTCCCCTGCATCGGCAGGCGGACTCTCAACCACTGCGCCACCAGGGAAGCCCCACTCCACTACTTTAAATCATCCAATGGCTCCCTGTTGCTTTCGGGATACAGTTTTAAGTTTCCCAGCACTTAGCACAGCCCCTGACACGCAAGATGTACTTAAGAAAGGCCTGATGAGTAAGTGAGTTAATAAGTGAATTAATGAACAAATAAATCATGCAAACTAAAAGAGAGTTGCAGTTCTGGAGGCCAACCAAAGAAGTAGGTAATTGAAAGTCATTTCTAGTTGGCTTAAAAATATATATTTGTGGGCTTCCTTGGTGGCACAAGTGGTTGAGAGTCCGCCTGCCGATGCAGGGGATACGGGTTCGTGCCCCGGTCTGGGAAGATCCCACATGCCGCAGAGCGGCTAGGCCTGTGAGCCATGGCCGCTGAGCCTGCGCGTCCAGAGCCTGTGCTCCGCAACGGGAGAGGCCACAACAGTGAGAGGCCCGCATACCACACACACACACAAAAATATATATATATATTTGTGACTCTTTACAGGTGAATCACTTTCCTATTTATGTTTGAGTAAATTTATTTAAATAAATTCACATTCCCGGAGACATAATTGGCAATATTTGTGTCTGAATTTCACCAGCTCCTCGGCCACCTTGGCACATTCATACCTAACTTACTGTCTGTGGATGAGAAATGAAGTCAATTAAGTAGGTTTTATGTTCACACCCACTATCAAGTTCACCTGCCGTCTTCCAATGTTTCATTCATAATGAGGTACAGCAAATACAATAGTGATGGTTCAGCTCTGTGGACTTTGTCTCTGTTTGCTCCACCCTCTCAGTGCCGTTTTCAGACTTCATCCTGGGGCAGTGGCCCCACTCCAAACCCCATGCTCCAGTATGCCAAAGCCTTGAGCACGTAGGATTAAGAACGTAGGAAGGTGGATCAAAAAGCATTACAAGCAGTGAGTTGGTGTTGACATTAACACTCTGTCTTGAGTACTCCACAGAGTGGATAGTCTGTATGTGAATAATCAAAAGTGTCTAAACCTGAAACCTTTGTTCTCTTCTTTTATAAATATCTATCAAGCCAGGAACTCAAATCAAGGAGAGAAAATATAATTTAAAACTCGAGTTTGTTAACAAGGAACGACAGCTAGAGTGCTAACAATTCAGCCAATTAAACGATTTTGTGTTTGTGTGATAATTACTGCCAGCGTAAATGATCTTGTTAATTGCTTTAATTTGTTAGCAGTTTCCAAACTTACAATTTTTTTTTTCATAGTATTAACCAAAACCTTTGGGAAATTTTCAATAAAATTTGGAAAGATACTGCCATGAAAGATTCCATTACCTCTGCAAATTCATCTCATTTCCTATTCTGTGGGATATTTCTGCAGCTGCTCAACTTCTGTTGAATATTTCTTGAATGCTTTAAAGACTACAAGAGATTCAAACATGATTTATTCTGTAGAGTAACTGGTTCTTATCAAAAACACCATTCTTCATGTTCCTCTGTGTATGGCAAATTTTATTTTTAAAAGATTTATCATTTTCTTTTGCCAAATGCCATATAGTCATTTTTATTCAATTTCATGAAGTAAATTGCTATCATTATCCTTATTGCCGGATAAAGAAACCAAGAAACTCAGAGTTCAAGTAATTGTCCAAAAATCACATAGAACTCCAAATCCCTTCCTTATGAAAGAGTTATTTATCTAGGAAGCAGTATCTTGTGGGTTTTTTTTTTTATATAAATTAATTATTTTTGGCTGCGTTGGGTCTTTGTTGCTGCGTGCGGGCTTTCTCTAGTTGCAGCAACGGAGGCTACTCTTCATTGTGGTGCGCGGGCTTCTCATTGCAGTGGCTTGTCTTTGTTGTGGTACACGGGCTCTAGGGGCATGGGCTTCAGTAGTTGTGGTGCACGGGCTCAGTAGTTGTGGCTCGCGGGCTCTAGAGCACAGGCTCAGTTGTTGTGGCAGGAGGATTTAGTTGCTACATGGCATGTGGGATCTTCCCAGACCAGGGCTCGAACCCGTGTCCTCTGCATTGGCAGGCGGATTCTTAACCACTATGCCACCAGGGAAGTCCCTCTCATGGGTTTTTAAATTAACAGATCCCATGATATTTAATGTAGATGATCTACATTATAGACTAATTTTTTAAGTCAATAATTAGATCAAGAATTTAGCCCCCAATTATGCTGAGTGTGTACAAGTAACAACTCAGTGCTGCTAGTTCTATTCCATCATCGTCTTAATCATCAAAATACACTTAATTAAGCATCTAGCTCCGGACCTTCCATAGCAGAAACTGAAATAAGCCAAAGCTTTAGACCCTTCTTTTGGAAGTGTTTCAAAGCTGTGAGTGAGCATCAGTATTCTGTTACAGACCCCAACTACTGCCTAAACCTATTTCTCAACTCCCACTCCTCACGTCTACTAAATATGGCCAGAAATTGAAGTAAGAGCTTGTCACATACGATTTCAAGTACTTGAGGTATTCCCTGACCTCATTCTAAAGATTTTATATATTATATATATATATATACATATATATATAAATCTTTTAACTTATTGCATAACTAACAACAAATATTAAAATGCAAATAACCCTGGGAAGAGTTAAGTTTTAAGACACAGGCTTTTGGCTACTGGAGTAAAAATAGTCAGTGCCACTTAGTGACATTTTAATAGCCAAGCAATTTTTTAGAAAGATGGTAGTAGGGTAGACTGAAAAGATTAATAGATGTAAAGTCAGAAGACCTGGCTTCTACTCCCCTTTATCCTCTCTATGCCTTTCTTTTTCTTCCACAAAATGATGGCATTGAACTAGCTAGTCTCTAAGGACTCCTTCAGCTCTAGTTTTCTATTTTTTTTTATTATTTTAATTCATATGTTTTAATTCACTATGTAACAATAATATCACAGTCTATTTTACAAGTTAAATGTATGAGAATGTATGAAATAGAAATGGTAGGAAAAAACTAAACGTGGGTCAGGAACTTGAATTTTCCCAAAACCAGGGGCCAAAGGAAGATGTGTTGCCTGCAGGGCCCAAGAAGGAGGCAGGGAGGGTGACGGGAACAGCTTGTGGTATGTGTTTGTCCCCGTGTCTACTCCAAGAAGGAGTTGAGGCATGCCCTCTGCCCTGGTCTGGGATTGGGAGTTTAATCTGGTCAATTGAAGATGGTGGCTTGAGAGAAAAAAGCCATCTGGTACCTACACAGAGCTGGTCCCCTGGTGGCCGCAGGTGGGTTTTGCCGTAGAGGGAATTAGGGGTGGAAGTGTCAAAAATCAAATGTATGGAGGAAAAAAGTAAACAGTTTCCTCCTTCCCCCTAAAAAAATGAATTCTTGAAATGCACACATATTCTTCTCTCAAATGTAGAAAAGTCTCACTCTGGATGTGCTTACAAGAAGATCGTCGTCAAAAAACTTTGTTTCTATAACACTTCCAGTTAGCACGCTTGCTGGCATCATCTGGGACTCGGGCGCTGCCTCTATCAGGGACTGCCGGGTGTTTGTGGAGTTAGGGATCACAGAGCCAAACTCGAAGAACCATTCTTCTAGGCATTGCCCTTTGAAGTAAACTTTTTGTTCCAGGCGGACTTTTTCCATTTGCTCCGCTGAAGAGAAGTTCAATTCTCGAGACACTGCCTTGCACTTGAGGATTTTCTTGGGAACACGGGCTTCATGCTCCACTCCAGGGCCTGACAGGTCTTCTTTTCCTTGCCAAAGTATCTTCCCTGTCTCAGCATCCTGAAGGTTCATCCAATTTAGTTTGAAGCCCCTCAGGATCTCCCTGGCCCGCTCGCCCTTGGTTGACATGATGCGGCGGCCGCTGACTGCGGCTCTCCCACGTTGGCCCGGCGGAGCCTTGTAGACTGTGCCCAGGAGCTGAGGTCTGAGCCGCAGCCCCGCCTGCAGACCTCGGGCGAGCAGCGGCAGCGCCCAGACCCGGACCGGCCTCTTTCCCCTCAGCTCCGGCTCCTGATCCCTTCTCCTTCCTAGCTTTCTATTATTTTACACTTACAGCAAGAACATACTAGATGTTTGTTACAATAATGTTCTTTAAAAGGAAAAATTGGAAATTAGTTCAACATTCATCACAATGGAACTGATGAAATCAAGTATAGTGGGTAGACACACGTATAAATTCTATGTAGCCAGTTAAGTGATGATATGGTTTTATATTTATTGATAAAGACGTCATGACATACTGTTGTTGTTTTTTTAAAGTAGCCATCAAATAATTTCCATTTGACTAAGGAATAAAGTATTTTATATAAGGAAGGATACTCCCAAAAATCTCAAGTTATTTCTAGATGGTGGGATTAAGAGTAATTCTTACTTCCTTCTCTATTTTTCTATGATGTTTGGGTATTTATACGTATAGAACATTTTCATAATAAGCAACAAAGTTATTTCATTTGGGGGAAAATATAGTTAAATATAAGCCGCAAATATTAATTCCTTTCCTATGAGCAAGTTTTGGTAGAGAAGTGGGCCAGGGCAAGGACAAAACAGCAGTGAACTAAAGGAAAACAATGCCTGAGTGCTTCCCTGGTGGCGCAGTGGTTGAGAGTCCGCCTGCCGATGCAGGGGAAGCAGGTTCGTGCCCCGGTCCGGGAGGATCCCACATGCTGCGGAGCGGCTGGGCCCGTGAGCCATGGCCGCTGAGCCTGCGCGTCCGGAGCCTGTGCTCCGCAACGGGAGAGGCCACAGCAGTGGGAAGCCCGCGCACCGCAAAAAAAAAAAAAAACAACAACAATGCCTGAATATTTTCATCAACAACTCAGATAATGAAATAAATATGTGCCATGAAGGTAAAAAACAGCCCTTGTTACACAAATTGGGCACAGCTGATCTGTTTTTCTCCATCATCTCAGTCATCACGTGTTGGAGGCGGATTTGCCTGACCCATGCTCCCTCCCTTACCAGTCCATCCCATGCACAATGGGAAGATTTATCAAGCCATCAGACTGGCCCAATCCAAGGCTAACCGTCTTATGACAAGATTAATCCCATAACTTTGTGTTCTTTACTACCCGTGCTTTAATTATTTGAGTTTCTTAAGGTTGCCTAATCAATCTTGATATTTATCAATTATTGCTCAACTTTGAAAAAATGCAGAATTATCAGAAAGTAGATTAAATCAAAGAGGGATTCATAAATACTGAGTCAGCAAAGGAGGAAGAATAAGCTTCCTAAATACAAAATGGTAACTAACAGTTTTGACCCAAGTAGAAAACAGGTAGGAAAACAAAATCTTGTGGGAGATCATAAATTAAATACAGGTCAACACTGAAGTTGTCATTCAAAAAGTGTGGGGTGTGGCTGCCACACCCAGCAGGAGGCTCTCACCAAGAGCTAAGCTTCTAATGCACCCTACTTGAGGGATCCTTCGCTTGCCAACTTGAATTTATTAGTTCCATGTTATTTGCTTGTCACCAACTGCATCGTGTCTTCTGTGCTAAAATTAATTCCTTGATTCAATTTGGGGTTAATGGCTGTATAGCTTAAGTATCCAGAAGCAAGAGGGGGCACATGAGAGGAGCTACGCTCACAAGGAAGACGATTTCTAAGGTTCAGACCACAAGCAGCTCAGGAAGTCAACTGGTCTTTGCCTGCTGGAAGTTCTAGAGGTATGTAGGGACCATGGTGGGAAACTGTAAGTGGAATCACTTTAAGTCAAAGACAGCCTATATAGAATTAAGGATAGTATTTTTTATGAATGTATTAATTATTTATTTTATTTATCATATTCTGCTTCTTGAAAGAATTTTTTTTAAGTCCTAATCAGATTAGATTTTCTTTTTTCTTTTTGCTGCACCACGCAGCATATGGGATCTTAGTTCCTACACCAGGGATCAAACCCATGGCCCCTGCAGTGGAAGCACTAAGTCTTAACAACTGGACTGCCGGGAAGTCACCCTGAAAGAATTTTTTTTTTTTTTTTTTTACATCTTTATTGGAGTATAATTGCTTTACAATGGTGTGTTAGTTTCTGCTTTATAACAAAGTGAATCAATTATACATATACATATGTTCCCATATCTTTTCCCTCTTGCATCTCCCTCCCTCCCACCCTCCTTATCCCACCCCTCCAGACGGTCACAAAGCACCGAGCTGATCTGCCTGTGCTATGCGGCTGCTTCCCACTAGCTATCTACCTTACGTTTGGTAGTGTATATATGTCCATGCCTCTCTCTCGCTTTGTCACAGCTTACCCTTCCCCCTCCCCATATCCTCAAGTCCATTCTCCAGTAGGTCTGTGTCTTTATTCCTGTCTTACCCCTAGGTTCTTCATGACATTTTTTTTTCTTAAATTCCATATATATGTGTTAGCATACAGTATTTGTCTTTCTCTTTCTGACTTACTTCACTCTGTATGACAGACTCTAGGTCTATCCACCTCATAACAAATAGCTCAATTTCGTTTCTTTTTATGGCTGAGTAATATTCCATTGTATATATGCGCCACATCTTCTTTATCCATTCATCCGATGATGGACACTTAGGTTGTTTCCATCTCTGGGCTATTGTAAATAGAGCTGCAATGAACATTTTGGTACATGACTCTTTTTGAATTATGGTTTTCTCAGGGTATATGCCCAGTAGTGGGATTGCTGGGTCATATGGTAGTTCTATTTGTAGTTTTTTAAGGAACCTCCATACTGTTCTCCATAGTGGCTGTACCAATTCACATTCCCACCAGCAGTGCAAGAGTGTTCCCTTTTCTCCACACCCTCTCCAGCATTTATTGTTTCTAGATTTTTGGATGGTGGCCATTCTGACTGGTGTGAGATGATATCTCATTGTAGTTTTGATTTGCATTTCTCTAATGATTAATGATGTTGAGCATTCTTTCATGTGTTTGTTGGCAGTCTGTATACCTTCTTTGGAGAAATGTCTATTTAGGTCTTCTGCCCATTTTGGGATTGGGTTGTTTGTTTTTTTGTTATTGAGCTGCATGAGCTGCTTATAAATTTTGGAGATTAATCCTTTGTCAGTTGCTTCATTTGCAAATAATTTCTCCCATTCTAAGGGTTGTCTTTCCGTCTTGTTTACGGTTTCCTTTGCTGTGCAAAAGCTTTGAAGTTTCATTAGGTCCCATTTGTTTATTTTTGCGTTTATTTCCATTTCTCTAGGAGGTGGGTCAAAAAGGATCTTACTGTGATTTATGTCATAGAGTGTTCTGCCTATGTTTTCCTATAAGAGTTTGATAGTTTCTGGCCTTACATTTAGGTCTTTAATCCATTTTGAGTTTATTTTTGGGTATGGTGTTAGGGAGTGTTCTAATTTCATTCTTTTACATGTAGCTGTCCAGTTTTCCCAGCACCACTTATTGAAGAGGCTGTCCTTTCTCCACCGTACATTCCTGCCTCCTTTATCAAAGATAAGGTGACCATATGTGCGTGGGTTTATCTCTGGGCTTTCTATCCTGTTCCATTGATCTATCTTTCTGTTTTTGTGCCAGTACCATACTCTCTTGATTACTGTAGTTTTGTAGTATAGTCTGAAGTCAGGGAGCCTGATTCCTCCAGCTCCATTTTTTGTTCTCAAGATTGCTTTGGCTATTCGGGGTCTTTTGTGTTTCCATACAAATTGTGCAATTTTTTGTTCTAGTTCTGTGAAAAATGCCAGTGGTAGTTTGATAGGGATTGCATTGAATCTGTAGATTGCTTTGGGTAGTAGAGTCATTTTCACAATGTTGATTCTTCCAATCCAAGAACATGGTATATCTCTCCATCTGGTTCTTTGAGAAGATAAACAAAATTGATAAACCATTAGCCAGACTCATCAAGAAAAAAAGGGAGCAGACTCAAATCAATAGAATTAGAAATGAAAAAGGAGAAGTAACAACTGACACTGCAGAAATACAAAAGATCATGAGAGATTACTACAAGCAACTCTATGCCAATAAAATGGACAACCTGGAAGAAATGGACAAATTCTTAGAAATGCACAACCTGCCAAGACTGAATCAGGAAGAAATAGAAAATATGAACAGACCAATCACAAGCACTGAAATTGAAACTGTGATTAAAAATCTTCCAACAAACAAAAGCCCAGGACCAGATGGCTTCACAGGCGAATTCTATCAAACATTTAGAGAAGAGCTAACCACCTATCCTTCTCAAACTCTTCCAAAATATAGCAGAGGGGGGAACACTCCCAAACTCATTCTATGAGGCCACCATCACCTTGATACTGAAATAATTTTTGAGGACGTTCTTGCATTTTATTTACCAAAGCAGCTTGAGGTATTAATCTTCTCTTCCCAAGCAGACTGTATAATTCCTGATACCTAAAAGCACGTCTTTAGTTTCTTTTCAATTGCCCAAGGTGCCTAAACAGTGATAGATGAACATACATAAAAATAATACTGAAGACTGTAATAATCAGCTTAAGTACATAATTACTACTGGTTACTTTAATTCGTAAAGCCATGTTCAGATTCTAGCTCTTCTTCTGGATCCCACAGAAGACGTGGTGACCATAGGGTGACCATATGTCCCACCTTACCTAAGTCAATCGTGGTTTACACTTGTCCTGGCAGAATCATTAATAGTGTTACTTTGCACTCTCAAAAATGCACAAATTATGTAATAACACTATTGATCACGCACCTGTAAGGGGCTTCCCAGTAAATTCCAACATACAAAAAGTAATCTGTGTTTAGCAGTAAGTGAAAGCTTTGTGACAAAAGATGACCACAGAGTACAATGTTTACGTTGGATTACCTAAATATTACATTACTAATTGCTATTTCCTAAGACAGTTTATCTCTATATAAATTTGTCAACTCTGCCCTCTACTGTCTTAAAATAGAATTATGACATCATGCAGATAGCACTATTTTGGCTTCATTGATTGAAGCTGATTGTGTTGGTCCTGTTGATTACTTTAGACGGCTGGTCCTCAACTTTGCCTGTCACTATATTAGCTTTTAAAGATCTGCACTGCCTAAACCCCACCCCCAACCAATTAAATCAGAA